TACAATTGTGACCCCGTAGAAAGCATCAGCCTGAGGCCTACAGCTCTACATGCTGAGCTTCCCCTTGGCGAACAGTTGCGTGGCGACTGGGGAGGGCCGCAGACAGGACGGTCCATATGTCCAGTTGAACCGTTCGAAGCTCCATCGCAGTATGGACTCACGTCTATATCTCCGCAGCAAATCAGTGCGATTCATGGTGAAGCTGTCACCACAGTCTGGCCGCGAACAGTCGAAGTTGCTGAAGTCTTGCCGGTGGACGCGCAGAGGAAGGACGACCGAGTGATGCCAGAGGCAAAGGAGGAAGGAGACTCTCTGCAACAGTCTCAGTCCAAAGAAAGCCAAACAGAGCTTAAAGTGAACCAGTTGAAGACTGCCAAAGAAGGCAAAGGCACGCCACGAGGAACTGTTGCAAAGAGAAAAACAGCAGCCAAAAAGGGATCTCGAGGCCCAGAGAAGTCGCAATTCGCAGGGCAAGACGACGCGGGCCTGGGTGACACAGTACCTGAGTTGACGAAATCAGAGGCTGTCGAAAACGCTTTGGAGCCTTCTCAATCAGAACTTGAGAAGCCAGCGAACGCAGAGCATGATGACCATAGCGATATCGAAGAGAGGAAACTTGACAATGGAGGACCTACTGAAGATGCAGCTGCAAGGGGCAACGATCAGGAGAGAAAACACAAGCTAGCGGAGGAATCACCAAGGCAAGATGCAGAGGCAAAGGAACCTCTGACTCCTTCAACCGCTGAACCCTTCATGACTGAAGACAAGAGCTTTAAACGAACGAACAAAACTTTCCAGGACAAACTTGAAATGGCGAGTCCGCGTTGCGAAAAGGCAAGGAATGCTGATGTTTACGCCATGACGATGTCTGCACCCCCGGCTGTCGGCGTAGGGCTGACGCTCCCTCTTTCACAGAAAGTTTCAGGTAAGAAATAGCCAAATAGAAGTGATGAAAACGGTGGAACAAATTGCGACCTCTAGAAACGAGCAGCGTGGTCCACAAATTTGAAGAAATGGCATGATCTCGTGTCATGTGCCACCGCAGGGAACCATTCTCCGGAATTGTTATCTGAGAGATATGAGCATGAAAATGGTAAGAACTGGCCAGTTGGTTATGTGCCTCCCCCAGATGATAAGTACAGGGAGTTGGTGCTTGGCAACCAGGTGTATCTTGAGGGGGGGACATTCTACTTGAGTGAGACGGGAGCCTACCTGTTAGGGCTAAGAGACTAAGTTGACGCAGCGGCCTTTCAAGAATCACTGCATCTGACGCGGCACATTTTCCCTGTAGAATGGTGCACGCGCTTGAGGTTCGACAGGGTTGCATCTGTTTTGCTAGGCTTAGGCTGGAACTATGAAGATTCCCATTATTGCGACTCTGTGACCTTACGGACATTGAGGATGCGCAATGTTTGTGGCTCTTGATGTGGCGTATTGAGTGGTTATCTGGTGTTGCTGCCACAGTTTCAGAACATCCGTCGTGAGTGGACGGCAAGCGCAATAGTGCACGTAGCTGCAAGTTGCTGTGCTCGGAAAAGCTTGGAATGCCTTCATCTGTGCTAGTTCTGTCTTCGTAAATATGTTTTTATCCAGCGTTTGTGTTGCTGGCCAGGGCCGGCACAGTTATGAAACAGTGCACGGCTCTGTTTTTACGGACGGTGGAGCAATTTAAGAATATTTGTTTTGCTAGCACTTCCAGAATTGTTATGAGAGAAGAGAGAAACAGAGGGACTTTTAGTGCTTTGCGCGCACGAAGCCGACGGCCAGATGATCGCGGTCGAAAACTGTGTAGTATCCCCGCAAGAGAACCTAACGCACATGCGATTTAGCTTACGTTTAGCTAGTGGGAGTTAGCTCGTTCGCTTTTCCTTACCTGGCCGAAAGTCCACCCCTTTAAGCCCTAGAGAAGGATAGAATATTAATATTCTATGAAAGTTACTCGAGGCATTATCCAGTACAACCCAAACCCACGTCTTCGGCCTCAGAGTCATCTGCCGCTATCCCCAGCATGCATTCATGCACGCCGTCGTCGTTTACGAACTCTAACACGTAGTCGTCCGGACTCAGTTGCAACTCGACAACAGTTGGCGCTCCGTCTGACAGTGCTTCTGTGACGCTGGACTCCAAATCAACTGGGAGTTCATTGGCTTCGTACTCTTAGGAACTCCCTCGAATTGGAAGCTCTGTAGGCATTGAAACATGAAAATTCAGTGGCGTCATTAGAATAAAATCAATATCACGTATTCCTGTGCTGAGTGTAGTTACTCAAGTAAGGGTGTTCCGTTCATTTACCAGGTCAGGGAGGCTCTGCTTGTCGTCGCAGGAAGATACGTGAAGGTCCGACAGATAGTGGTCCATCGCTCTCTGGTTAATGGTCGAATAAATGTGTGCATAGAAGCGCAAGCACGACATATATAAAGGGAGCCTCCAGGCCAACGGACCGTTGGGGCGTATATTAAATAGGTGCCAGTATCGACGATAGACGCGCCTCCAGCTGCACTCACTTGATGGCTTCCCAACCCTACAGTACAACCAGCGAAACATACTGCCATATACATCCCGCCGCTTTGCTGAGAAATCTGAGGTTCGTGTAGAGTAGAAAGCAAGACGGCCAGTCTTCACAACGCTCAAAACGTGGACTGTTGCGAACCCAGAGTGCATAAGAAAGTCTGCCGGAACGTCCACCATGAAGGAAGAAGTATTTTACCTGTCCAGTAGCTGTTGGACGGATCCACTGCTACCCAACTGCATGACAGAATAGGTGAGACAGAAGGCTCCGTGTGCCGACCAGGCCAAGCAACCTTGCCTGAATTCCTCTGCTGGGTTTTCCTTTCTGGATAAATCAGCACCACCAAATGTCAACGCCCCTCCTGCTCAGTTGCTTGAATGAGCCTGAAATAGGGCTACGCATGCGTTAACATTCCGCTCACCATCGGCTGAGAGGTAGTACGCAAACTGGTTCTGCGGGCGGTCGCTACGGTCTTTCAAATGGAAACAAGGGCCACAAACATACTGCCAGATTCTTTTTTATTAGTGATCCGCTTGCAGCTATATGGTCAATGCTGAGTTCATGCGCTTCGGTTTTCGACGCTTCGTATGAATTGTCAGTGAAACTCACAAAGGTAGGACTCCTCGCTCGCTTATCTCGCGGTTTTTGAATCCAAGACCAACGATCCCGTCCTTAGATAAACACTCAGTCAGCTGTCACTAAACGTTTCTTCCATCTCCCGTACCCATTCTAGATCTTGAAGCAGCGGTATATCAAGATGAGTCTGAGTAATCAAATGGTAAAAGCATGTAAAGTCTCCTCATTGCTCATCACATGAGGGCCCGCGGCCACATACCGCAAAGCCTATGCTCGTGTGAGGAACAGATATGTCGCTGCCCAAGTGAACCGTGTCATATGCTGTGTGGAAATCCCTCAGTTGCAACGACAAGGGCGTTCCATAGGTAAGCCAACCTCACCGTCGTAGCCTTTAAGCGAACCGCTCAGATACTGGACGCTCATCTGGCTTGCGCTGCCGTCCTCGTTAAAACGAGGCTCAAACGTGGAACTTCGCACATACTTCCGGTGCCCTCTGCATTGTTTGGTAAAGCTGCAATACGCAGATGTGAATGAACAAGGAAATGCAAATGCATTGCAGAGCACTCGAGACATGCAGGCTTTAGAGGCAAGCGTCCAGTTACGTTCATACCAACTCTCATCAGGCACCCAAAATTCGCATGAGCCGGTGTCAAAGAGGACGCGAAATGTTGATACGGGATCTGTCCCAATCCCGATGTCGGCAAAGTAGGTGGCTAAATTTTGAAAGAACAAAATGTTTACAAGCTAAAATTTCAGCTTTTCACGTTGTATCATGGTATACCCAGTTTCCGCGACGCGAGCACTTGATCATGCAGGAGTATGCCAGCAGAACGGGTGAGCGTTTGCTGGCCCAGCTGCAAGAAGCTCGCGTACCGCCGTCGACGGAAAGGGCGCTGTTGTTGGACAAACCATACGTGGTTCCTCTCCACGAAGTCATCTACCTTCTTCAACCTCACAGAAAGCTCACTGTGGTCAACTGGGTTTGTTAAGGCACAAAGTAACGAGTGGTAAACTGCTGCTGTCAACAGAGTCAACAGGATCATCATTCCCCTCTGTTTAGGAAAGAAGAACCATCAGCACAAAAACAGGATGAACTGGATTCATCAGTACTTTTACCTCTTCGGTGTCAGAGATTTAGCTACGAAACAGCGTAGTGTCTGATGCTTTGGGTGTCTAGACATTGCATATTCTCGTAGCTAAGGTTTTATTCAAACCTCGGTCCAGCATTGGTGAGTAACTGCCAGACAGGCAATGTTTTACTGTTCGTTGTATCTTTTCAAGTGCAGCAGTCAGTTCGGGCATGGGCGAATTAGACTAGGGCTACAGGTGTCGACTATGGGAGTACTGGAAACGCAGAAAATTCGCATGATCGCCGAATGGACGCTCATCTTAATCAGCTTAAGGGCACGCAAAAATAAACGTCACACTTTTCAAACCGGGGGACTGGGCTGATCTTTACAAACGAAGAATGTTCGCGCGTGAAGCCTTATTTGGGGCTGAGCATTGGTTGTTCGTGCCTGAGGAGAACTACTCCAGTAGGCCACCGACACTCCTAATGTATTCTTTCCGTCTTAACGTACTTCTTGTTTGTTAAAGACGCCTTTTTGCTCCGGCGGTTGGAGGATTTACTAAACGGCGCCTGTATCCTTTGCTGTATGCATGAAGATCTGTGTGGATCTCGAGCAGGAAGATCAAATCGTGCATGTGGATCTTTAAAGTGCCCATTGAATCTTCATGGGCCAAGAAATATTGCAGTTCTGCCGCAACGCAAATCAGAAGGTGCCGGAGTTGCATTACTTACGAAGTTTCGTGAACTCCTTTCAACACGGATGCAGAGCCTCGTCACCTTCTTTGCAAAGTTCGTTCTTCGCAACTAACGAAAAAGGAACGACATTTTTTCGCTGTAATCTAAAACATGAGCTGCGGTTTCAGGGTCTCAGTATGGTTGGGTGGGCTGCCGCCCCAGGCACACGATAAGAGTCAAGTGGTGGTAACTGCAGCTCTCCCTGAGTATATGGGTCGCAGCGGTGGAGCAAGTGAGAGCAACGTTTACATCCAGTTTAACGGTAGCCACATATATCAGTCTACTCATGTACCAGCTGCTGCGTCAGAGGCAATCGGGGGCTGCAGCTGCGGCAAATCGCGCCAAACTTTGGTTGTACTTGGAGACGCTGGGTCGCTTCCTGGGGGTAGCGAGACTTTGAAAGATCTCTTCGAGTCTGTGTCTCGTGTTGAGGATGAATGCGGGAGCTACATCTCCGATTGCGAGAGAAGTGTATGGCTGGCTCAACGGCAGACAGGAGGCAACACGACAGCAGCAGGCACTGCGAGTTGGTCACCACAAAACATTGTTGGTGGGGTGGAGAATGAGTACAAAGTAGAATATTGCTGCAAGAAGTCGAAAGTTTTAGCTGCGAGTCGTGCAGCTTACGCGAAGCGAGTCTGCGTTGCTTTGTCTCGCCGGTGTCGGTGGTGCACTTGCTATGCTGCCCGTTATCGGAACGGACAGAGTTCCAGAGTACAGGGGCCAGGGTTCGATTCCAGTTCCAAAGAAAATACCGTTTCATCTGCTGCTTTTTCTGTAGCATTCCACTCCGAAGCTTATGGCCTTCTCTTCTTCTGCAGAGATAAGCTCGGCCTTGCATCTTTGCTGGCTGTGGCACCCGCCGAGAGCCCAGGAGAATTGTCTCCCAGCTTTGTCTTGGCAACATCTGCAGCAGAGCTGCGCAGTGCTGACGGGACTCCTGGGTGGCATAGAAAGTTTAAAGAAAATGTCGTAGAGGTCCCCGTGGACGGCGTGTGGCTTGTGGATCTGTGGGCATTGGCAGACTCACATAGGTGTCGCAACGCTTCTTCCACTTCAGCACCTGTGCCTCTCAAAATGCCGCCTGCGTACAGTATAGAGTTGCAGTTACGTGACGCATCCATTCCCGGCCTGCGCAACGCGATCTGCGTCCCTTGGGAGCGGCCTAGCATCATCCGCACAGAGCACATGTGGTGTACCTGCGAAAATTGTGCTTTATCTCGCGAACTGTTCTGGGACTCAATGGATTCCCTTGATAACCTTCGGCACGACATGGAGTGCACTCTACTCGAAGAGAGAGAGCTTCTGGAGAGCATTTTCAAATCATTCAAAGGATTCGCAAAGGATGAACGTCCGCCTTCTCTAGAAAACTCATGTGATATGCAAAGAACTGGAGGTCCGCCTTTAATTACATCATCACGAGTATTGGCGTCTTTGTACAGGCAGCTCTTCGATGCCGTATCACGGTCAATACCCGAAGCACTGCAACGGATTCAGAGTGGTGGCGGGCCTGCTGTGAGGAGTGCTACGGAGGCTGAGACTGTATTCGTAGGGGTTTTGTTTTCCGGGGGCGTTGACTCGACATTGCTTGCGGGGATGGTTTTGCGGGTCCTCGCTGCTGCTATGGTGAGACTACACTCTTGACGAAGGGGCATTTGATATCCAGAAAACTGGGAGTACTAGCAATTACAGCAACGAATGTTTCTATGTAGCAGATAAACAGCTGCTCATTGCGATATTATTTGGGTGATGCTTCAGGCAGCTGAGCGCTCGGGTGCCCCGAGTGGATGTGCCCCTTCGCACAGAGCGCTTCCTCAAAAGGTAGTTGTTGTAGAGCTTGTTTCTGCCTGCTTTTCGGCAGAGGCTCCAGACAGACTGACCGCATTGCGTAGTTTCCAGGACTTGCTCTGTTTGCTGGACTCCTTAGGTGTACGCTACAAGCGACAGTGCGATGGCAGCAGTGCCACTGACACTTCGCACAACAGCAGCTTCACACTGATTGGAGAGTGGGCACTTGAATTGAGGCTTGTGGCCGTAGATGTGTCAACCACAGAGAGTGCAGAATGCCGTGACCAGCTTCTACAGGTCATATACCCCAAGCGAAGCCACATGGATTTTAACATTGCTGCTCCCCTATACTTCGCTTCCAGGTAAAGACGAAGAGGCAAGCTCTCAATTGGGCGACTTCGCCTAATCTTTGCCCTGTAAAGGCCTGCGTGAGCGGCTTTAGCACTCAGGAGGCAGCAGCTTCAGAAATGCATCAACGAGCGAGAATCGAATATCCTGTGTCCACTTGCCGTTGCAGAGGCACTGGATATTTAGTATCCCCAAATTTCGGGAGAAAAGAGCAGTGGCACTTGCTGCTGCACGAGCCGTCTCTATGGAAGGACCTTCTAATCCGCCCACCTCCTCAACCCCGCTGCCACCAAGCCCAGCGCACGAAATGCGAATCCAATGAGCACACTGAGGATACAACACAGCTCGGGCACCCGGCAAAACCAGTTCAAGGACCCACTATCTGTCGGGGAACAGCAGCAGAGCAGAAGGGTGGTACATGCAGGGTGTGCCTCCGGCAGGCAAAGAGCGACTGTGTGCACGGGACATGCAAACTTTGCTGCTCGAAGCTGCAAACTGTTGCAGCACAGCGGGCATCCTCAAATCTGCAGAGCCAAGCCTGCGATGAGATCCACGTGAACGGGAAAGGGCGAGTACGACTTGCTGACATTGACGTCGCCGTGCATGCTGTGTGCCCAGTACACCGCAGGCGTCGCCAAAATTGCGCCAAGAAGGATGCAGTTGCTGACGAAGATGGCAAGACCGACGAATGCAGTGACGAACATCCATGTAGGGAAGAGAGCCATGCTCCATTCAAATCCCTTTCCGTTCTACCTTGTGGAGTGCCTTTGGCTACGCTTGAAAGTGGGCGGCCCTTCATGGCAATGCAACTGCCTGAGCTGCACCAGTGGTGCAGCATAGACCAACGGCGATGGAAGTGCGTGGATGCAAAGACAGGCAAGTTCCAGACTATGCACTACGAAGCAATAGACAATTTGGGTTTCTGTCTTAGATTAGCTAACTGTCACGCTGGCCCTTGAAGGGTCAGGGGAAATACCACAGACGATCAATTAGACACCCACAGGGCATTTAAAGTGTTTTTCGTCTTTTAACAGGCGCGTACACCTTGCAGAGTACGGTACTTTTAATGGGCAGTGGCGCGGATGAAATATTTGGCGGATATGCTCGCTACCGGACGGCGAATCGTACCAAAGGCTGGGGCGCACTTCGACAAGAGCAGATCCTGTGGGGTTACGCGTACTGAGAGCTTGTCCAGCTACTTGTCAGCTATTTTTCATTACTAATTCTCCTGTGGGGTTACGCGTACTGAGAGCTTTACCAGCTACTTGTCAGCTATTTTTCATTACTAATTCTGACTGTATCAAACGACGAAGTACAACTTTGTGCCAGATTGCCGCAACGGTGTGGCTTAGCGTGTCTGCAGGGACTTGAAGCGCCTTTGGTTCCGCAATATGGGCCGAGATTCCCGCACCCTTCGCGCTTTCTGCCGGTGGGCCCGTTTGCCATTTCTTGATGAGCATCTGTTGGACTTTGTTTGTTGCTTCGTTCCGTTCGATTACATCGTCCAACCGTCTAGTGACGCGCGTACCCGAGTCGAAGAGGTGATGCACCGCCTGCTCGTTAAAGCGACAAATCCGGCCCCTTATGGCTGTTCTGGAACCTTAGCGAGCTCGTCGGCAACGCGTAGAGAGCGAGAGAACTCCGGAGGAAGATTAGAAATATGTGCAATGAGTTTGCCTGGCAGTCCGGCAACAGAGCTCGGCAATAATAATACCGAAGTGGAAGTTACGAGCAACAATCTGAGCTCTGGAAATAAATGGCTCCTGCGGCTTTGTGCGGCCTACTGTGGACTGCCTTTTAGCTCCGTAGCAAAAAAGCGTGCAATGCAGTTTGGCTCGCGCTCTGCCAAAGTTTCAAATAGTGAATACTTCACTAGCAATCGTAAAGCTCGGGGTGACGCCAGTGTGGACAGTGGCGATGGCAACTCTCACAGCTGAAAGTAGCTAGGTCTCAAGTGTTCCGCAGAGCCAATTTTTGCACACCTCAGAACAGATTAAGAAAGTTGGTATCATGTTATGATGGCAGATTCCGCGTCAAAGCAAGGGGGGCATGGTGCTCAGCAGTGACATAGTAATGTTCCACGTGTAAAGAAGCATTTGTTGTGGCATTGCTGCAAGCGCCGGTTCTGAAATGGGAACAGCCACCTAAAAGCGACATACGCAGCTGGGCTGCTGCAATTGTTTTTACCGCAGTAGACCTCATAGAGATCCCTCTTCGGGCAGTGGAGGGAGGGAGACGAGACGACTGTCCATTCTCCTTTTTATCACCTGTAGACCCGCCGTCGCCGAAATGGGAACTACCGTAGCTTTTAAAATTGGGTGCCAGGTGGCGCCATGTGGATACAATAGAAAATAATGCTTGGCAACTTCGTACTCGATCGCTGCGTAGTGTGTCTTCAGGCCTCTACACCCCACACTTCCTACTGAGCATGTGTGACACGAAGTTCAGATTGTGCGCACCGCAGCAAGCAACTGTCTGCCAAACGTTTCTGCCTCTCACTAGGGTCACATTTTGCAATTCCTTTGGAAACTGCGTCTCACTGCATAGCCTGCTAAATAGCAACAGCAGGGAATCTCACGTTTCGCTGCTGGGCAGACGCGTACCGTTATATAATACACTAAACTTTCTTGAAAGCGAACCCCAAATGGAAGTGTAAATCATCATGAATCAAACCTGTCCAACAGGCTAGTTGCCTCTTCCAGCAACCGTTTAGGCGCTGTGTTTCACATGGAGTGCGACTACGGAAAGGCGTGAAAAGCGCACCTCATGCCTGCAGCTTTTGTGAGGAAGCCACTCTGTGGCTACTGTGGTTCTTTTTCTAGGCCCTGGAGTCCCAGTATTCTCATTGAGTACAAGGCCAAGTCACTGTCTGCCATTTTAAAGCATGTGTTTTTTCTCTATTGCCCGGAATTTCCTCCACGAACACAACGCAAATAAAACGACCAGAACGAGCGCTGCCATAGCGAGGAGGAACGCGCTTGCGTGCTTAACTGCAATATCTTTTTCCAGTTGGCTGGACAAATCAGTCAGCCGAGACAGAATTGGCGAGTCCCTGTCGTGTGCTGAGCCTGAGTACAGAGGAATAAAAGTGTGCTCACAAAGGTGAACTAGCAAATGCATTCAGTGAGGGCGCCTCTCGAACAACAAGCTAGTAAATTACCCAGTGCAAACAGCAGCACTTCGTGGAGCAGCAGGAAGCTTACCTGACTTGGTTTCCACATGTTTGTGAATGTTATGTAGCGCTGAAGTGTGCTGCTGAGAATGGCGTTTAAACAGATCCTTAAAACCAGTTAGCTCCGACTTGATAGACCTCACAGCTTCTGGCCCTTCCTCACCCCAGACCTTCCTGAGATCTTGCCGCAAATCGCTCACTTCAACACTCAGCATGCTTATTTGGTTCCCAATGGACGTCAACATCCTCATCAGGGTTTGGTCTCTGAGCCAAGCACAGGAATGCTTTCAAGCTGCTTACGTTTATTTCCTGGAATGAAAGCTCTTTTGGCCGCAAAACGTTAATCTGGCTATTAGCGGAGACAGATAATGCAAAGCCTGCAGCTTACGCGTGGCTCGCGTGGCTCGCATCAAAACCTATATGAGATGTATCATGTGTGGCTCCTGGATAGATCGCGTAATGTTCAGGATGGGCGGAATGCGCATGAGGGCTTGTTGCAACCGGCTGTGTCTCCATAGGGTGAACTGCATGTTGGGGTACAGGGGCAGCGGGTTGAGTGGGGACGTGGTCTAGACTCCACACTTTCACAAAGTTCAGCACAACCTGATCTCCCGTAGGTTGATTTCCTGCTGGCGCTTGACTTGAGCCTATCCCATTATGGGCTGTAAAACCGATGAATCCGTGAGCGTGCAAGTGGACATGCTCAAGTGAGCAGGCAGTGACCCACGCTGAGGCGACAGACTCGCGAATTTGAGCAACAACTCCCTGATTTCCGACTATGACGCGAAAAAGGACTGGCTGAAGCACAATCATTTGCAAAATACTGTTTCTGTTGTTTAGAAACGGGCAAGGAATTTTGGGCCTTTTGTACATTAGTGTATCCCCTAACAGAAATCATTTGGACTGCTAGACAGATTTAGTTGCTCATTAGAGGAGTCCCGTCTCCATTCTTAAAGTATCTGGTAAACAAACCTACGGCTGATTTATTCCTGTACTGATAGAAAAAGGCAGAGGAAGCCGAGATTTCCTTCGCTAGTTCTCTGTTGTCCTCGGTGTTATGGATGCACGAAATGGACGGATTGATGCTGCCTGTCTGATCCACTGTTTTAAAGATAACTCCAAATCCTTTCGGGTTATTTTTGTATCCTATGAGGTTCCAGTTAGCTTGCTCCTCCGCCGATCGAGGGTAGACGCTCGCGTAGGGCTCATATACATACCAAAATGCAAATCCCTCGGGCTGACCATGGCTACCAGCTGGTCCTTCAGCGTGAGTTGTTGGATCTCTGCCGAACACGCCGAACCCAAACTGCACCTCAAAGTAGACAGCGGAAATTGCATTGCGGTGCCAGAACTGGCCTGTTCTGTTGGCCTCTCCTGGCATTAGCACGATGTGGTCTTCCGATGGAACAGTTGACATCGCGACATCCCAGAAACCTGAGTTTTCCGACAGCGAGCAGCGCAAAAAGCACAGTGGCACGCATTATCTTTAAGGCAGACATTCGTTCGCGCAAGTGCACTCGACACAGCGCTCCTGTAAACACATAGGCTTTACTCTGACTTTCGAACATACTGAGGTTCTCTTGGGATAGCGGAGGCTTCCAAGAATGGGTACTTAGCTCCGTCGTGCCAGATGACTGTTCCCACAGGGTGTATGGATTTGGCAGAGTGCCCATATTGACGCCATCGTGACTGTGCTGGGGGATCGACGGATCATGAGTACCATATCCGTGGTGACTGTGTACAGGGGGAGGTGGGGGAGCAGCAGCTGGGTCAGACGGTATGTGGTGGTAGCCATAGGGTGCAGATGCAGTGGGTGGCATTGGTGGGGCCTGAGCTAAGCCAGCCTGAGCGCTATGGTGAACAGGAACGTCCTGTCCACTTGAGGTCAGTGGCACTATGGAGACAGCCGCTGCTGCTGCATAGGCACAAAATGCTCTGTGGACGTAGCTTGACATTGTAGAATAACAGATATAACCTCGAATCTCGCCGCAACCTAGAAGAGCATGGCGCCGGCGATGGCGCAAACAAACGTTAATTTGTGACTTTCTGAGTCCACTTCTGGCAGCTTTACGTTTTGTCCGAGGTCGCTTCTGTCCCCTTTTCAATTATTCAGATTGTGTGCACTCATGAGGAACCTCAACACGGATTGCCAGGATATTCCTGTCGCCTACTACAACTTGAGCATCACGTGGAGGCAAAAACCTGTAACGTCATTCCAAAAAGTACCCATTCGGTGTTTCAAGGCAGAAGAGGACCTGTCGCTTGTGGGGTCATGGGTCACTCTGCTTCAAGAGGTTGACCTGTGGTAACCTGTGAAAAGCAACGCCCAACGTGCTGGGCGACAAAGTCTTCTGGGCCCTTCTTGATTAAAAACCTTGATTTCCGTCTGTTAAGTGCTTTACTAGCTCTTTGACAGTGGCATATCTGTTCGGGGGCGCTCTAGCTCTACAGTCAGGCACGTCGCACATGCGCTACCTGCCAGTGAGACCTTCGCAGTTGCCTGGCTCTCCGGCAGACCCTCTATAACGCCTGAAGAGTTTGTGTTGAGTGGTAAAATTTACTGTCTATTATTTGCAGACGAAGACCGTGCATATTATTGCGCGGCGAGCATAATTCGATATGACTGGTTGCTCTCCGTCTTGCAGTGTCGGCAGCTTCCAGAGCAACACTATGATGAGCAACTACCAGTGAAATAGCGAAATTAGGGACTACGCATTGCAGATAGTGCTGTATTGTGTGAATTAACCACAGTTTTTCAGGCATGATGCGGAGGGGTGGTCCGTGCTTACTCAAACCGATACATTCTAGTCACATGCAGCCGTGCGGTATGTCCATCATCTTGGTTCATTGAAAGTTTCCTCAGCATGAAGTGATTTACTCTCGTAACATTTTCCAACGGCTATGAGTCAGCAGCCTCTGCAGCAACTAATGTCTGGGAAACCCCATTCGTAATTAACAATGGCCGACGATTACTAAGCGTCTCTCCCCCAGGTCACCTCAACGCAGCTCTAGGACGAGAATTCAGCGGCTTCTCTTGCCTTATTCAGCCGTTTCCGAGCTCAAGGTGCTAGTGCAGCTTCTTCCCTTAGTGCAGTTCTCCCCAACGGCAGCCTCGTCAAACCTACGCGGATCACACCGCCGGTAGTCCTCCACTTAGCATGTGCCTCCACTTTTACTCTGATTGACTCACGTATAGTATGTTACACTTCCCCATGTCTTCTACAAAAATATTTCATGCCTCCGTTGCTTTCTTCTGAGCGTCAGTTCGCTGCCTGCTGTCGTGACGCAGCCTTGATTTGCAACCCCGCGCACCGGCAGATCTTTGCTCCCCTCTCAACTGGTGAATAATCAACTAGCGAATAATGAAAGACACTCCTCTAGAAATTACTAAATTGGGTACAAAAGCTCTAAAAAATGTCCCCGTCGATTAATGGAAGCGGCTGCCCCTCCTCTCCTGACTCCGCAGCGTCCCGTACCGAGCTCACTGGGGCATTTTCACCAAAGAGAGGATTTTAAGCGAGAAATGCAACCGGATAGTTTAGAGTACGGCTCAGCAGTTGCAGGCCCAACACGACGGAGGGTATGCGATGGTGCTTCATCTAATGTAACACGTCTGAACAGCTGAAGCCTCCCCGTGCTTGCGCAGTCACACCACTACTTGGAACAGCTATTGCACCCCGCGACTTCAAGCATATTGCGTACAGCTACAGTGGGCAGACAGCAAACGAGCCCTTGCTGGATGCAAATTGCTCAAGTTATTTGAGT